CGTTTATTATTCACCACCTTCCGCGAACCTTAGATAAACGCTTCAGTACTATAGTTTGTAATTAATAGGGTGTGCAGACTAACGCTTTGGTTTCTACCTATATATAACTTTATTTATAACGTTTGAATGAACGCGCGCGCTTCTTAGTAAGGTTATAGTTCCAACCAAACCAAAATAAAACCAGATCATAAACTGTTAGGAAAAACTTATGTGTAGCTGGGTTATATACCCAACATGAAGTGGATTCGGTTCAACACTCGCATTGGCTAATGAGTATGTTGCTTCAAACGACTGTATCAAAGACTCTATTAAATATAATGACCCGCATTCATTCTGGCTGCCTTCAATCACTGCGCCAATCTTAAACATTGACCAATGCAGTATTCAGCGCTTGACAATCTTGTCTTGCGCATCAGTCTCCAACTTAACTGTGTTGATCAGTTGGAACTGTTGATCAGTCTCGATTGCTTGCGCAATTGCTTAGGATCAGTCTCGATTGCTTGTTTCTCGCATATGTTAGGATCAGAATACAGAGAATATGCTTGATTCGATTTGCTTAGGCATCAGTTCTCGATTGCCTTGTGATGTTAGGAATCAGTCTCGCATTGCTTGTCGATTGCTTTAGATCAGTCTCGCATTGCTGTCGATTGCCTTAGGATCAGTTTGATTGCCTTGTCGATTCGCGTATTAAGCAATCGACAAGCAATACGATGTGTTCGATCGCTTGTGGCATTGCTTAAATTTTTGCTAAGGTTGTTATTGTTTTATTAGCGGTAGATAATTAGATGATTTTGAACGTGTATTTTCAAGAAAAACACACGCTTTTATTCAATTATTATAAAATATAATATCACCTATTAATTGTAATTCGTTTATGTAAATGTGTTATTTTCAACTTAATATTAAAAGTTATGAGAGGTCTGGGCTCTCGTTAATAGTTAGGAGGAAATTTCCGAGGATTTTTCTTCTCGTAATCTTACGATGTTTCCTGTCAACGGATTTACGAGTAGGAAGTTAATGGTAAGACTAATGTTGCGACTATTTTGTTTCTGACAACGGGCCCCAATGGTTTTATGAATAGACTGGTATGCCCAACGATAGAACTTATGGGCTCTCACTCAAGTAGATAGTTCATATGAAATGTTAGAAGTTGGCTCAAACAGTAGTCATATGGGATGCGTTACGTAGGACCTTGGCTTCAATCAGTAGGAGAGTGATATTGGAATGGATAGGACCTTGGCTTCAAACAGTAGAGCAGTGATATTGGGATGGTAGGACCTTAATATGGCTTCAAACAGTAGAGAGTTGATATTGGCATGGTAGTAGGGACCTTGAGCTTCAATCAATAGATTTTGTGATATTACCGATATATACTCGCGTAATAACCGCAAATTATGGACACTCAGATTTCACCTTGTATTTGCTCTGCGGTTTTATAAGTTGCGGTATTCCGTGTAGCGAAATATACTATTGCACATACTTGGTTACCCGATTCAAATTGAAGGAGAGTGCGGCTTATAGGCGCCCGCGGCTTATTACGCATTCAATATACGGTAAATGTAGAAGCTGGCTTCAAACAGTAAAGCAGTGATATTGGATTGGGTATAGGACCTTGGCTTCAATCAATAGATTGTGCATATGAAATGCGCTAGATAGAGCTTGCCATGCGCCTTCAAACAGTAGCAGAGTGATATGGGATGTTAGCCGACCTGGCTTCAACAGTAGATATAGCTGATTATAGGATGATAAGATCATAGATCCTCCTCACTTTCCTCATTCCCCCTCCTCTCCTCCTCCTTCTCTCCCTCTTTCTCCATCTACCTCCTCCTCCACCTCCTCTCATCCTCCTCCTTCTCTCCTCTCCTCATCCTCTCCTCCCCTCTTTCTCCTCCACCTCTTCTCCTCCTCACTCCTCTCCTTCTCTTCCTCTCCTCATCCTCCTCCTCTCCTCTACCTTCTCCTTCTCTCTCCTCCTCCTCTCCTCCTCCTCCTCCTCGTTCCTTCCTCCTCCTCCTCCTCCTCTCCTCCTTTCCTCCTCCTCCTCCTCCTCATCCACCTCCTCCCCCACGTTCTCCCCCTCCTCCGCGACCTCCTCCCTGTATCACTGTCCAACATACGCGCGGTAACACTAATAGCTATGATCTCTGTGAAGATTGAGTTTATTGAAGGCGGTGTTAGAAAGAGCCAACACGTGCCGGGTGCATATTTGATAATTAATTAGGCTAATCGTGCGTCAATAAACTCGACACTCACAGAGATTATTGCTAAGACATGTATCATCATGCATGTAGAATTCTAGAAACGTAACTCATATAGTTCGCGAGATATTATAGGTAAATACACTTTCCTACCGGCCATACACCTACTATGCCTGCATAAGCCTAGATGGGCATTACCGCGCGTGAATAACAGCTAATTAATTAGGCTAATCGTGCGTCAATAAACTCGACACTCACACAGATTATTGCTAAAACATGTATCATTATGCATGTAGAATTCTAGAAACGTAGCTCATATAGTTCGCGAGATATGATAGGTAAATACTCTTTCCTACCGGCCATCTCTTACATAAAGGGCGAGTCTGTTTTTCGGTCTGTCTGGGGCTCTATCTTCTCCCCCCCCCCCGCAAGAGGTCACCCCCAACACCAATATATATATTCTTAATCAGCATGTCGCGACGACCATTTATGAGGCCCCCCAAAAAAAATACACAAACAAGAAAAATTGTCAAATTACAATTAAAATTAATTATTATTTTAATAAATGTCCGCGCAGTGGCGCTATATACCCTCCTACTTCATCGAGTGCGCATTTTCGCTGTGTAGCTGTATTTTGTAGCTCTGTATTTTACAGTGACAATAAACGAATTATTAGCTTCGAAGGAGACAGGAAAGCGCCGTAGACGACTACCGTGTAGGTATAAATGCTGAACTTGCAGCTTATTTTCGTATTTTCGAGTGTTTCATATTCATCTCCTACAATAAATCGCCGGATCTATCTGTCTGTATGTCTTCTCGAGACCAGTAAGAGGTGACCGGTGAGGTATATTCTCAATCAGCATGACGCTACGACCATTTTAGGCCAAAAACAATTTGCACAAAAAGGCCAAAGTAAGGGCAAAAAAACAAACAACAGATTTCTCCCCAAAAAATACTAGCGCAGCAGAAAAGTTAACAGCAATCCTAGCGCTCGACTATACACTGCAGCATAAAAGTCAAGACGAATCCTAGCACAGCAGAAAAGTAAACAGCGATCCTATACTATAGCGCTCAACTATAGTCAGGCTCAAAATCAGGCAATCGCATGAAATGCCGAAACGCAAGCAATAGCAGAAAACGCATGAAATAGCAGAAAAGCAGTAACCCCCAAAAAATCCCGGGCATCGCCGGGTACCCCAGCTAGTCTACTATATAATACTAATAGTAGAAAGAGCCGAAGTGTCGTTTTCCGTATCTCCTCCGAAACTGTGCCACGTGTGCTCACGCGAATCGAGCTGGAGACCCTTCTGGGCATCGCGAATACATTCCGCTACGTTAGAACGTGATTTTTCGATCGTAAACTGACGTTTGGAGGCAATTTTCAAAAAAGTTATGTGCCCGCAGAAACTTCGGCATTCATCGGAAACCCGCACCAATTTTTAAGATCGCCAAATCCGCATGCGCACACACGCACACACCAAAGCCATTGTGTCTGCGGTGCATAAACAACCAAGCACTGCCGCGCACAGCTGTGATGCGAAAATTTAAGACAAACCCCAACGAGAGACAGCTGTGTGTGTGTGTGTGTGTGTGTGTGTGTGTGTGTGTGTGTGTGTGCTGTGTGTGTGTCGTGTATGTGTGTGCG